AACTTTGATAGTGGAAAAATATTGGAAAGGTACAGAATACCTATTACTAAAGAAGCATAGAAGTGATTTTTAACACATTCATACCACATCATAATTGACAATTGTTTGAAAATTGTGAAAGAGTCCTGCAATATTTTCCATAGTTAGAATATAAACATCAGCATCTTGTCAGTATTTGGAGAAAATATATTACTCTAACAAAGTATCTTCAGCTGTTAATGATATAATAAATAATTTTACTAAATGGTTAGAACAAATCATCTACCAATTCTGCATGTGCCCTCATCCTAGGGACTTAGATCCTTGACCCATTTTTCTCCCCACTACCTTTGATAACATATATAAATAGAACTAGATTTTATTATTTCTGGCATTTGACTTTCCTTTTTTTCATTTTGTTCGTTGGTTCGTGTGTATTTCAGGTGTGATTTCCTTCCACTGTAAATGATACTTCTATTTTTGAAACACCCACTGTGCCTGGGATAGTACTGCAGATAGTTACCCAATAGTACAAGTTAAAGTAAATTGAGTAATTTCTAGTTTATAAAGCTGATATTTTACATTTACAGATGTTTTCTTCATAAAAGTTAAAAGTTCTATTAGAAATCACAGTCTCAGTTGTACGAAGCTTATTTGATTTGAGATCTGTCCTGAGATGAGGTATCCATGGGAATTAGAGAAATATTTCATATAGTTTTAGGTTCCACACAGATTTCTTTTTCATATCCCAGGAAACTAAGCATCATTTTCAACATTTAATCAATGTACTCTTCCCTCTGTTGTGCAAAGTCCTTCCTTGTGTACTCATCCTGATTTATTTGTGTTTTTATGCTCAGGTTTTACCTCTTCAAGAAAGCCTCTCGGAATGAGTCTCGTCCTTTCCTGTGCTTCTGTTCTACTACTCTGACACTTGTATTTAAAATAATTGTGTTTTCTGAGCTAAAATATTTATATGTGATTTGCTCTACGATACTGTGATATCCTTGAGGGCAAGAACAGTACGCCATCCCTTTATCCCTAGCTCTTATCCCAGTGCCTGGCATGATGTCTAGCATATACTAACCACAAAGATGTTCAACAAATGCTTGAACTTATTTCAAAATCTCAAATGTGCTTGTTCTCTCTCTCTCTCTCTTTGCAAAGTGGTTAAAAGCATGGGCTTTGGCACCAGGTCGCCTGGGTTTAAATTCATGCCCAATCAGTTATGAGGCCTTGGGAAAATTACCCAATCCCTCTAAGTCTTAGTGTCTTCAACTTTAAAATGGGAATAAAAACATTTCATAAGTTTCTTGTGGCCAATGAAGGAGCGAAACTGTATACACTCACACAAACATAACTTAGGAGAGCATGGTAAAAGCTCTAGAAGTGTAGATATATTATTTTTATCCACTTAGATACATGAATACTTATCATTCTTATGAAACTGATTAGTATAGTTTCAAAAGTATATTTAGAAATGACTTTGCACAGTTTTGTAGAACCTTCCCAATAATGTTTTCATTTTCAAGTGAGGAGAAGATACAGGATATTGTATGGAATATTATACAGTTAGTATATGAGTGAGGGGACAATTCCTTACACTACACAGGCTGGGTCACTAAAACCAGCAGAGATTAAAAACTTTACATTTTAAAACCCAACCTGCAGTTTACCTAGAGCTTCATTCAGTTCCAAAATATTTCTGGCTCAGGAACATTTTCTTAACATTTGCCATTCTTTACTACTTCATACCCTTTCTATCTATATTGAAAGAAAGGGCTGAAAATTAAGAGAATCCAAACTTGTTTAAAGAGAGACATCTAAGAGGGGCTTTCTTATGGGAGATTAAAATTAAGTAATATTTCTTGGAGGAATAGGAATCCAGAAATACAGATCTCATGGTCAATGCAGAAGCTGAAGCAATAAAAACTAACCTTTCTTAGAATAATTCTGAATTTTGTTAAATCTCTGTAGAAGAGATGAAATATAATTAAATTAATGGGGAAAATCATTAGTAGAAGTCCTAAGAAAGAGAAATATCAGGCTATGCACTAAAACAAAGAGGGGTGATAACTGAGGGTTATCAACATTTGTCACTTGCTTTAGCAAGATCAAGAAGATTGAAACCTAAGGATAGGCTATCAAATGAAAGGTAAAATTATTATGTAGAAAGAGAAGCATAAAATTTTACACATAGAAAGTCCACAGGAGAACATCCCATTCAACCCATCATTATACAAGAAAACTGAGTTGTAGAGAGAAGTCAAAGTTCATTCATTGAGTCACTTTGGAACAGAACTACATATTTTGGTATCTTGGCTTCATAATCCCATTTCCTTTTTGCACCTGTACACTGCAATCTAATCTCTGAAAAGAGGGTATTCCATGAAGTTATTAACAACACAACTTCTGGGAAAGAAGATATTATTTGATGTCAACATCTGACCATAACTGAGATAAAACACAAATGAAAAAAGCAAAGAGACTAAGTGTTTTAATGACAATAATTTGAACCCATTACCTATTAATACAAGGATGAGCCACAATAATAGTTTTTATGCAAAATTACTGTTGTGTTTCATAAGAAAACTATGCTCAAGTAATGAATGATAGGGCACTAACTAGCTAGAGAGGAAAAGAGTGTAAAGAGGGAGAAGAAAGAGAAAAAGACAGACTGGAAAGTTGAGGGAAGAAGAAAAACCAATTCTCAAACTTACAATCTCTCACATAGGAAGCACTGGTTTCCTTCAAGGACATCAAATAATGCTTCTATTTCATCTAAGTATTTTGAAATCTGGTGGTCAAAACTTTCTCCACCACCTCATGCTGTAAATAATTACTTCAAAACCAATAAAAATCTATCCATCTGAAAAGGGGCTAATATCCAGAATCTACAAAGAACTTAAACAAATTTACAAGAAAAGACAACCCCATCAAAAATGGGCAAAGGATATGAACAGACGCTTCTCAAAAGAAGACATTTATGTGACCAACAAACATATGGAAAAAAGCTCATCATCACTGGTCATTAGAGAAATGCAAATCAAAACCACAATGAGATACCATCTCAAGCAAGTTAGAATGGCAATCATTATAAAGTCAGGAAACAACAGATGCTGGTGAGGATGTGGAGAAATAGCAACACTTTCATACTGTTGGTGGGAATGTAAATTAGTTCAACCATTGTGGAAGACAGTGTGGTGATTCCTCAACCATCTAGAACCAGAAATACCATTTGACCCAGCAATCCCATTACTGGGTATATACCCAAAGGATTATAAATAATTCTACTATAAAGACACATGCACACATATGTTTATTCCAATACCGTTCACAATAGCAAAGACTTGGAACCAACCCAAACTCCCATCAATGAGAGACCAGGTAAAGAAAATGTGGCACCATGGAATACTATGCATACATACACCATGGAATACTATGCAGCCATAAAAAAGGATGAGTTCATGTCCTTTGTAGGGACATGGATGAAGCTGGAAACCATCATTCTCAGCAAACTAACACAAGAACAGAAAACCAAACACCAAATGTTCTCACTCATAAGTGGGACTTAAACAATGAGAACACATGGACACAGGGAAGGGAACATCACACACCAGGGCCTGTCAGAGGGTGGGGGCCTAGGGGAGGGATAGCATTAGGAGAAATACCTAATGTAGATGTCGGGTTGATGGGTGCAGCAAACCACCACAGCACATGTATACCTATGTAACAAAACTGCACCTTCTGCACATGTATCCCAGAGCTTAAAGTATAAACACACACACACACACACACACACACACACACCCCAAAACCCAGGAAGCACCACCATAAAAAAATTAAACAAAATAAACAATACAAATGAAAAATGCCTCATACTTACTGTAAAGGAACCTGACTCTAAAGAAGACAAATAATTCTCCATAACAGATAGAACAGCTCATCTGATTGGAAGAGCAAAGATGCAGATCCATCACAGGGATGCTAGCTATTTTAGGTTCATTCTAATCCTGTAATTTTAAGACATGACTCAAATTTCCTACTTATAATTTATTTGCCAATATATCCAGTAGAATGAATAATTTAAAATAGGTACTTTCCAGAATGCTGAGTGAGACATAAAAAGGATTTTGTGAAAAGCTTTTTGGTATAAGTAAATTTTGTGATAAGATTCTTGCTATTAAGGAATAGAAAATGGAACCAATGTTGGTTTTAAGAGGAAAAACAGTTGCTGAGTATTTAAATCGCTTCAATATTTCACTTACCATTGATTTTACATAATATTGAGCATAGTAATGAATAGTCTAACCTGTCTGACCAATTTTATATAATTTTAAGCAGTGTTTTGTTATATTTTACAACACAAAAATAGCCACCCTCCCTTTTGTATTTGTTTTTTAAATATATACCTTTAGGGCATTACGCTTTTAAATTTATAAGCAGCAGAAAATATCTGAAACACATATTCATATTAAAACATTATTCTTTGTATAAAACCACTGACCCATTTTTCTAAAGTAAAAATCGCTGCTGGGTTTTTACTTATATTGAAACTATAACAAGTACAGTTCAATTATTATATTTATACAGTACCTTGAAGAGTATATGTCAAGTTGCACAACTGACCTTCTTTTCTATAAAAAGTATAGATGTAGCCAAAAATAAGTAATTGAATTATGGAACATTTTGAAAAAGAGAACCCCGTTGCTTTTGTTGCATGTAAATAAATTTGGATGTTTAATACTTCTTTGCATTTCCTTGCATATTTGCAAATATGACCTTAATTTTTTTAATTAAAAAATCTGTCCACTTTACAGATTTAAAAGTGATACCTTGTGAAGACAGCTGTACAGAAAAAATAAACCCATAAATTTAGCAGATTTTCAGAGACATAAAAATAAATTTTCTTTTCAAAGAAGAACCAAATACATGCCACAATTCCATCACAAGCCATAGTATGAAAATCAATTTTTTCTCTCCATAAAGAATTGAGTTGTTTAGGTTGAATTCACATCACTCACCTGTTTGACTAAGCTGAGATGTGCTTCTACTCCTTCGAGACACTATGGCAACCACTTTGGCACTAAGGCTGGATCTCCGTTTCTTTCCACCTGCTCCAACTGTACCAACAGCTGTGTCTGACTGGCTGCCGTCATTATGCTCCAGTGTGTACATCTCTCCACTCACACTGGTGCTCTTCATGATGGCTCTTCCTGAAGTCCCCATCCGTCTGCCTTGCATTTTGGGGGTAAATGAACTATATTTACAAAGTAAAAACATATACGCATCCATAAATTACAGGTCAGCATCACTGAAATTCTAAATCTAATTTATTTTGAAATAATCCAGACACATTTTTAGGGGAAAAATGCAGTTGAGTAGTGGTTCTACACCTACAAATAGTTTAGTATCACACCACCACCTGCAAAATATTTATTACTAGACATGGCTTAAAACAATGCCATTTCAAGATGGAATAATTTATAAACTTTTTAAAGATTATAAAAATAAGTGAAACAAATACCATACATGGGGAGAAGAATGTTAGTGACCAATTTTGTAAATAGTATCGTTACTATGTTACCAGAGAAAAACTAAACTATTTCAATTATTAAGAAAAGTTCATATACATTTCAGAGAGAAAAATATTTTTAAAAACGTACACTCTTTAAATGTGCCACATAACGAGGCTTAAGAAATGAAGAGTATTTGTTCTAATTTCCCTTTGGGATTATAACTAACACACCTTGCTTCATGAGTCTAAGTAAGACTGCAAAGAAAGCAAAAACTAAAACGAAAACAACAAAAAATGCTTTTGGATTAGTTTCCCCTCCTCCTTCCTTGTGCCCTCATGCTCCACTTCTCCACACAAACTTCTTCATCTCATTTCCTTCTTTCAGTGCCTCACACTCGCATGATGTAGGCTGAATTCTTTTTGTTTTTTTCCTTTCCTATCAAAACTTGTCTATGTTACCGGCTTGTACAAGTTTATCTGAAGAGACTCCTTCTCTCCCCAAAGAATATATTATTGTTAATTATTTTATGCAGCATAGAAAGTTAGCTGGGAAAACCTCCTTACTATTAGCCAAAGTAAACTATGTCTGAGAGTTGAGGAGAGGTAGGGCAAGCAGGCAGGGAGCAGGGATGTTAGGATTCTTACAACCTTTTAAATTACAATGCGTATGCAGCTTTATTATCCATCTAGACCAGTACATTTCTGTCTAATAAAAACCTGGTTTGATACATCTAAAATGACCCTCTTAATTTTGTTTCCTCAAAATATTTGCAAAAACTAATTATATGACCCTTATTACCATTTTGATCTTCATTTTCTACTTCTTGTTTTGAACTACAAATTACATACTAGCTGATATAGCATCTTTAACAGTGAGGACATTTAATATGTAAGTCAGAATAAATCCTAATATGATTATAAATTGTAAAACAGAAAGTCTTGGGATTATGTAACAAGTTCGTTGTCATATATATAATAAGAGAGACATTGGTATGAGGTGAATTCAGAAACGTGGGAGAGTAAGATCAGGAAGGAGAGTTTATAAGCTATGGAAAAGAGATTAAGACTGGTCCTTAGGATCCTTCATGGATTGTGAATTGAATATTGAGACCTCTATTGATGAGGACAATTTGTAATTTTCAATATTTAGTTGCATTACTTGAACTTGTCCACATCGAAATTCTGATAATAATAAATGATTCTCATTCTTTCAACGTATTCTAGTCAGTTTTTCATTAACTCAAAGTTTTAAAAGTCATTTGCAAATCTGGTAATTTTGCTATGCATTTTATGTACATTTTTTGAGACACAAATGAGAGTATTATTATGTATCATCCGTCCCAAACTGATTCCTGTGGGATTTATATTCCCAACTCCAGCAGACTTTCTTTCCTGATAAATATTATGGTCAATTTCTTCTGTGTCTTCACCAACATATTGGAATGCATTAGCTAAATATGCCACCCATCCTTACGGCTACTCTATCTGCTTTTCTTTACTATTTTACTTGCAGAATTCTGCTGGAGAATCTACAGAAATGGCAGGATTTGGTCAATTTCATAGTTACAATGTCCATGCTCAGTAAAATGCCTACAACAGAGAAAGCAGTGGTTTCTCATCTCTCATCAATCTTTTTAGCACACTCTCCACAGTGGTTACTGAAAACTTCTCTTCTGATGATTTTTTTTAACCTTTAAAGGAAAGTATGAATTAATTAACATGTACCCTTTTTTCTTCCCATTATTTCCATAAAGATGGAATTCTATTACAGCTTGAAATTTCTCTAATATCGGTCTACAAAAAAACACCATTGTGAAATTCTGGGCAATGTTCTTTACTTTATAAAGAAGTTTAAGAGTATACGGAAATGTCTGCTATCATATTTTGTTATTAAAATGTAAGATGAGCTGGGAAGAGTCAAAAATTTATTTCATGGATATCCAATTTTAGCAGTGAAATATTCTACAATTTTGACAAAAGTTCTGGAAAACATAGAAAAATATGTATAACAAGTGTTATCATTGGGAGGGGGTTAAGTTATACGAAAAATGATTGGGTGAATAAAATATGAGGTGCTTTTTTTCTCAAAAAATATATGTCTAGATGCTTAAAAGCATTCTTTTATGAGGACATGTGTAGATTCCTAAACAGTCTATAATATTATAATATTCAATGAAAAAACATTTAAGGTATTTTCATTTCTTTTAATTGAGGCAGTTCAGAGGATCTAATCAGTCAGATTAATCTAATCAATCTGAAGATTACAGCACAAATATGCTTTCTACTGCCCCATTTCTTAACTTCCATTTGTTCTGCTTCTGTTTCTTGAAAAATTATTCCTATCACTTATACATATCTGAATCGTTTAAGACACATCTTAAGGTTTTCTGCTTTATAAAGCTATCCAGTCTCTCTAGCTTCATGACTGTTGTCTCCTGGTCCTTTGTTTCATATTTTGTACTGGTTATATTAAGATTCTGATATTTCATAACAGCAAGCACTTTATGCACCACTAAAACTGCTACAGTCCCCTTCCCATTGCTGAATGAATTGATTTATGAGTAGGAAGTGGGAAAAAAGTGATCAGTATAGAAATATACTGTGATATAACCCATCTTTAAAAAATCAAACAAAATTCCTTTCTTTTTGATCCCCCCTCTTCCTGTAGACTTTTTGCTGAAAAATCTCAAGTAGTTATTTATATATCCTCTCCTCCTATTCTTTTCTGAACAAATTTGAATCAGGCTTTGTCCCCAACATTTCACTAAAACTGCCTTTTATCAGTCGCCAATAACTCCACATAGCAAAATCCTGTCACTTACCAGTCCTAATCCTTTTGACCTCTCAATATGTCATGCATTTGTCAAACAATTTGATTCCTTTGTCTTGAAATACTTTATTCTAATGGATTTTCCAAATTTGTGCCTCACTGGCAGGACCTTGATCCTCTTTTATCACTAAATGTAAGAGCACCTCAATGTCCAGCCCTTTGGCTTATATTCTTCCACATGAAATGAATTCCATAGATGTCTCACCTGGTTCCAAGCTTTATGTAGTATCTATATGCTGCAGATCCCAATTGTTTTCCTGCACCTTGTACTCAACCCTGGACTCCAGATTTATATATCTAGCTGTCAACTGACATATCTGCTTGGATATATCTAATAAGGCTCTCAAACATAAAGTGTTCAACCCCTCAAAACACCTGCTCCTTCTCCAGTCTTCCATATCACATCATAGGCACCCATCTACCCAACTGCTCAGAGTAAGAACAAAATATCCAATCTTGGAAGTAAGACAAGCCCAACCAACCAACCAACCAAATTGGTTTCTTGGCCACTTTTCTTGAGCATTCCCTAACGTGCTTGTGCACTGGCTAACAAGAGCACCTAAGGTCATTTGGCTGTCTACAGAAGTGTAAAATTTTGACTTAGTATTTACTTGTATAATTGTAGTCCAAATATTTTATATTCTTTGTAAAGTTAGATGTTAATTTGAAAAAAAAAAAACTAATAAAGGGCAAATGATTACTATCTGGCCCTAGAGAGGATAACCAGTAAGTCATAGTTTCATTGACTTAGAATACATTATCCAGTTCTGAATCTAACTTAATCTAATTTTAGTATTCCATTTTTCCCCAATAACTATATGTGTGTGTACAAAATTACAAGGGTTTCTTGGATCATCTTTGGAAACAGCTTGTTATACTGTTGGTTTTCTCACTAATTAATTAAAACTCCAACATTTGCTATTTTTCTGGTGATTGTTGTTTTAATTTGGAGAATTACATTCTGACAGTACTGAAAGTTCCACCAAAGACACTTAAATGAACTCTCTACTTAAGCCAATTAGCTGTGTTGTCCAAGCAGGGCATTTCATGGGCTCTATAAGCCCAAGGATGCCTTTTCCTGGCTTCTAGATTTAACCTCAAGAGGCAACAGCACAGTCTTCTTTCTGTTTTCTTTTTTCTGACTCTGGTTTTCTATGCATGTTTTGATTTTGTTTTGTTTTCTTTCTTTCTGGTTCTGGTTCTTGGCAAGACTGGCTCTGATTCTGCATTGCTTATGACTAATAATACTTTCTCAACTAGTAGCAGTAACAATAGGGAATCTACCTATGGGTGAAATCTGTCAGATGGCTGGCCAACAGATTTCAATGTCAGGAATACATTGAAAGCTGGGTGGCAGATAATAGAAAATCTAGTTTGGTAGACTTTTTGCATGTTTTTTTGGTTTTTTTGTTTGTTTGTTTTTTTTGTTTTTTTTTTGTTTGTTTTTTTTGCATGCTACTAAAAACTCACATCACTCAAGAAATACATTGTGCACACTGAAAGAAGAAAAACCCTTTAAAGTCTAGGCTTAGGTTACTATGTTAATTTTAACCCTATAGCTGAGTGGTAATGCTGAACCTGCTAGTTCTGTTTGCTCAAAAATAATCTTTTCAATTGGTGACAAAAAAATTTCTTACTTTGTGTATACCATAGGGATAGTTGTTCAAGTAGCAAATACTAGATCTCAAGGTATTTTATTTTTATACTTCTGTTTTAAAAAAATGTTTTAATTTTCAATTTCATGGGTACATACTAGGTATATATATTTATGGGGTACATAAGATTTTTGGGGGGGCTTTTTTTTATCACACTTTAGGTTCTAAGATACATGTGCAGAACATGCAGGTTTGTTACATAGGTATACACGTGCCATGGTGGTTTGCTGCACCCATCAACCCATCATTTACATTAG